GTTCCTTCCCTTCAGGAAGATCCACCAACTCCCAAGTGTCATTTTTGTGTAATGCATTAATCTCTTCCTTCATTGCATCTGTTCATTCAAGTTTGGATAAAGCTTCTACAACATTCTTAGGAACGGGGATACTGTCAACAGAGGAGAGGAATGCACGATATGAAGATGAAATATGGTCATAGGACACAGTGAGAGATAGGATGATTAGTGGTACAAGATCTAACACCCTTTCTCTTAGCAATAGGAACATCAAGATCATTAATGACAGGGGAATCAATAGAAGCAAGTGTAGCTGATGGGAAGGATCAACCTCCGGTGAAGCCGGTGATGTTGGTTGCATAGTGTCAGGTTCCATGGCTCTTGAACTCTGCTCGCTTTTGTGGTGGCGAAGAAAGACACAGAATGGAGGAGGGTCAGGTAGAGGAGGTAATTGAGTCTGAGCCTGTTTCTCCTCAACCCTACTCTCCCCCTGAGGAGAAACCAAGAAGAAAGGTTGATTCTCAAAGAAAGATACGTCGATTGGGACATGGTACTTGCGAGAGATTGGATCATAACAACGATGCCCCTTTTGAGATAAAGGGTAACTAAGGAAAACACGAGGATCAAGTTTACCCCGAGTAGGTGACAAGTTATGAACAAAGCAACGACACCCAAAAACACGCATTGGAATGGGGGATAACGGAGTTGTAGGAAACAAAAGTTGATGTGGGGCCTTATACTCTAGTAACCGAGATGGCATACAGTTAATGATGTATGTAGCACACAGAATAGCATCCATCCAAAAACGTTTCGGAACATTCGTATGGATTAACAAGCCACGAGCTACTTCAAGAAGATGACGGTTTTTTCTTTCAGCGACACTGTTTTGTTGGGGTGTCCTAGCACAAGAGCTTCGTTGAAGTGATTCACTCGAAGCAAAGAATTCCATGAGATCACTATAGAAGTATTCCTTTGCATTGTCCAATTGGAAAATATGGATTTCAGTTTGGAACTGAGTGAACACCATGCATTGAAAGTCTTTCATAATTTTAGGCACTTCATTTCTAAATAGCATAGGGTAAACCCAGGTGTATCTAGAGTAATCACCGATCAAGGTAATGAAGTACTTATATCCAGCCTCAGTAGGTAGAGTAACAGGGACCCAATCATCAGAATAAACAATATGAAACAGAAATTCAGATCTTTTATTTCTCAAAGAAAAAGAGTTTCTACAATGTTTACTCAATTGACATGTCTAACACTGCAACTGACTCACTGACAAAGACTCAAACAACTTTGGATACATAACTTTTAATGACTCAAAAGAAAGATGACCAAGACAACTGTGCCATAAATAGGCTAGACTTTCACTAGACGAACTCAAGGACTTTGTAGCCACAAGACCAGCTTTATTCTCCAACATATAGAGATCATCCACCATGCTTCCTCTACCAATTGTCTTCCCCGAGGCCAAATCCTGAAACACACATGAAGACGAAAAAAAAAAAAAGTAACTGAACAGTTCAAGGAGTGAGTAACACTACTAATAGAAAGCAAATTTATAGGTAACTTTGGAACATGTAGTGCATTAGAAAGGGTAAGGCCAAGTGGGAGAGATATGGTTCTTTGGTCGGCTAAGGTGGAGAAAGAACCATCAGCTAGTCTCACCTTCTCTCTCCCAAAGAGAAAATTGTATGCTTGGAATAAATTTGACTTACCGATCATGTGGTTTGAGGCTCCGGAGTCAATTACCCAAGGGGAATTAAAGGTATGAGATGACACATGGAAGGCAATGGTAGTGTTACCTGATGCAAATGTGAAAGAGGTAGAAGGAGTAGGACCGGAATCCATCTGGTGAAGAGTCCTACCATATAACTCCAAATGGTCACGGAAGGAGTTGATGATCTCTTCTTTAGGGTCAGAACTGGGATGTCTTTCCTGAGTTACCATGGGACCAGTCTCTTGAGATGCCATATTAGTTGAGTTATATTTTTTCTGATTCTGCTAACTTGGTTTCTTGCCCTGATCAGTTGTTGGCTTCTTACCCAAATCCTGTGCCCATTTAGGTTTTTCATGGAGATCCCAACATGTATCTCTAGTGTGTCTTGTCTTCTGGCAGTGAGTGCACCAAAGTTTACTCTTATCATCTGTTCTTTTCTGAGAGTCACCCTTCTTAAAACCACCTCCGACATTAGTATCTGAACTTCCCCGGACAGCTAGGGCGACTGGCTCCCCCTCTGTACAATTCATCACATTTCTTCTACTCTCTTCTGACTGAACTAAGGCATAAACCTCCTGAACTGATGGCAAGTCTTTACTTCCCAAGATCTGCACCTGATGGACTCATATGAAGGATTCAGCCTCAAGAGGAAGGCAAATACCCGTTGTTGAGATACAAGTGATTTGTATGCCTTTGCATCTTCATCACACTTCCAATTTACATTCTGATAGTGATCAAGCTCTTTCCATATCGATGTTAGATCCGAATAGTACACCGAGAGACTCCTTTCCCCCTGCTTGCAAGTGGACGATTCAACTTGCAGTTGGTATATCTTGGCATAGTGTCTTTGCTCTGAATAGGTGGACTTTGCTTGTTCCCATATTTCACAAACAGTTTCAGCCCACATAAAWGTYTTTCTCACCTATGGMAGCATGGAAACCAAGAGCCATGACATCACCATACTATTTTCTTGGTTCCATCTATCATATTCAGCACTTTTGCTCTTCGGTTCCTTCACTTTCCCATTGATGTATCATATTTTTCCCCTAGCAGTGATGTAGAGTTTTATTCCCCTAGACCATTCAAGGTAATTCAGACCATCAAAGGGAATAACAGCCATAGGGAAACTCATATCCATTCCCCCACTTACTCCATTTTGACTTCCAGAAATCCTTGAAGTAGCAGAATTCTCAGACGACATGATCAACACAGAATTTTTTATCTAAAACCTCAACTTAGGACCCCTCCTTATATCAGAACAAAAAGCTCCACACACAACAAGTGATCAGTCCACACACACACTTCAGTTTTGGACTTGATCTCTGCACAAGACCAGCACCAATTTCCAGGAAAAAACAATATGATAAATCTGATTTTCAGATCTGTACGGAATAATAGTCCCAGCCTACTAGTTTTCTAGAAGGTCTACAAGCATTAATCACTAAGAGGGATCCTTACACACATGACATCAAGCCAACAAGCAGAGAAAATAGGTCACACGTGACCTACAACCACCTTTCACAGGTATAGGATCACACGATCCAAAGAAAATAGAGGTATAAACCTCACAAGGGTTTGCCGACACTCAGTGGTTCAGAACCATTCATTTTCCTCTTGGCACACAACCAAGGGAAGAAAAAAAGGAAAGAAATAGGGTTGTACCAGTTGCAGATCTGATTCGATCAACCCAAATTTACTCCTCTGTTCCACCCAGATTCAGCAGCTTGGAGAAGACACTTGATCTGATTCGATCAACCCAGATTTACTCCTTTGTTCCGCCCAGATTCAGCAGCTTGGAGAAGGCACTTGATCACCCAGATTCAATGGCCACGCTCTGATACCATCTTGACAGTAAATCCGATTGAAGATTAAAGAAGAAGAAGAAAAAAAGAGAAGAAAAGAGAAGCGGAGGAAGAAGAGGAGAAAGAAAGGAGAAAGAAGGATTAGAGGCAATGGAACAGTGCTGGCGGTGCCAGCTTCATTATAATATATAGGCAAAAAAATAAGAAGGGAAATGACCCTTGTGCCCCTATTATAAGTAAAGTACAATAATCAGAAAAAATAAAAACGCTTTAATCATCCAAACAGACCCTAACAAAATAAAATCAATTTTTTCAACATGTCACAGAGAAGTACAGGACACCACCAGTAGAGAAGATATGTAGTTTTTTTTTTTTTTGCCCAAAATTTATCCCTAATGGAGAGGTGGTCACTGCAAATTTTATTAAAAATCCAAATATGAACAACCTTTGGGAGGGGTGATCTGTTAGATAGTGTATGCCCTTAGCTCCAATCAGATTGTGTATAGATACATTTATTGTAAATGAATAAAAGTACATTAATGTTTCATGTTGATATTAGTATGTTTGTGTGTTTACCCCTTAAACCGGACACTTATGAGACTCGTGTTAGTTTAGAATGTTCTCAGCCGTTGGATAGACTTGGGGAGTTTATCCTGCCAAGGCTAACACTGATGTGCTACCAAAGAAGTTGGGGCAGCTTATCTCAGCTGCTAGGGTTAGACCCGAAGCACATGGATTATGTATTGCACTAAGTGTTGGATTGGGCTGTCTTTGATATGCTAATCAGTGAAATCCATCAAGGGTCAAAACCTAGGTCTGTTAGAGCAATCTCAGAAATCATCTGAGTGGGTGATCATAGTGATAGGATCGGCCCCTTTGTCGGATAAAGTGAATGATAGGGCTTACACTCTCTTTGATGGAAACCAAAACTGCCAACAATGGATTTCAACTGTGTTTGAGATTTGGATTTGCAAAACATATTTATATGATATATATATAGATAGATGTATTATGTTTTATGAAAAATGTCTACAAAAGGTTTTAATTCCCAAGATCCATCCGAGTAGAGAGTGTGGCACTGCACCTTATAGCCAAGGGAGAGGTCTTTCCCTGTTGGGCAGTGTTTGATCATTATGGGCCAAGAGATTAAGTGTAAGAGACTATTACAAGGCTGATTACCTAATGGGCTTTATCTTACTTAAGTCTATTATCCTTGGGTCTTCATAGGATGGCTGAATTCAATGATCATTTAAGTGTAAATGTTGGGCCCATATTGAGTCCATAGTGATGTGCTCAAGGGTTCACTGCGTTTAGCAGTGAATTCGGCTAAGCCTTTTCATAGAGGCTGGGGCCGAACCAATGTGAACTTATGTGAGGTCATTGTGGGGTCTCACGCCATACAAATTAGGCCTAAGTTGGCCATGCAACATCTTAGGGCGTGAGACTTTGAAGGAAATGGGCCTAAGGCCCATAATTAATAAGATTAAGTGAGTTGTCACATGACAACCTGGTCAAATATGGGTTTGGAAATGGGTATAGAGCACCCATCCACTTATGAGGATAAAGCTTATCTCTTAATAAAGTCTAGATCCAAATTAAATTTGGATAATCACCTAATTTGATTAAGAGAGTGCTCCATAAGGAGATAAAAGAAGAAGAGGGCAAACCAGACTAAAAGGCCACTCTCTCTTGTTCTCTCTTCTTCTCTTTTGTCTTCCAAGAAACCCTATCACGACCTAGGCTTTCAAGGACTAATAGAGATCAGTTTTCTTATGATTTTTGCAAGAAAAATTCAGAGGAAATTCAAGCTCACCTTCCCTAGTTCAATCCAAGCATTTGGGTTGCAGTTTTGCTGAAAACTGTGTTGCTGAATCAGCTTCACCTATACACTACGCCATCTTTAGTGGAGGCTGGTTTTAAAACTGATTTGGGCGTGAATTTCCACCATGGGATCTACGTCTGTGGTATTCGTATCAGGTACACATCTCCCTCTTTGTTTGATTTCAAATCTAGTCCGGTTTAGTGCAAGACCGATACGGAAAAATACAGTTGTTCAAAACATAGGGAATTCGATTCCTAGAAGGATTAGGAAATTTTTGAAATTTTGCCCAGCCATCTAGCATGGTTCAGCCATCCATATGATGGATCCTAACCCTTCCAATATGATCAATATTCCCAAATGCAAGACACAAAAGAACAAGAGATTAGTAAATGAGGAAAGGTCTCACAACTAGCCATACAAAAGATACAAACATGAGAGAGGCATTTATTTGGCCTTTTTTTTTCTGTAGCATGTCACAAGTGTTAATCTTTCCAAGGAACACTTCCCAACAAAGACTTTGCACCTTAGGAGGGATTGGTTTACACCAAATTTCTTTGACCGAGAAGTTCTCTCTCACAGGTTTTGAGCAAATAAGAAGGTTAAAAAAAAAGGAAGCACAAGAGAAGAGGCCATCAAGGGAGGGAGACCAAACTCTACTGTCCAAAGAATTTTGATCCAAGAAAACCGTTTCCAAATTTGAAAGTAAGAGAATTAAGGAATCACATCCATTGTCCCTCAAACCCCCTCTGAAACCAGTCTCAATTTAAACCAAGTTCTAAGGGCAAACCAAACCTAGAAATGGGTTCAGCCTTATAGTTTGATAATGAGTAGAGTACAATGGATTTCAATTTAAGGGGTAATTCCCCCAGCCAAAGGTCTTCCTAGAATAAGACTATGTTCCCATAACCCACATCAAAACAAACAAAATTAAGGGAAAGGGAAGGGGTAATTCCCCCAGCTAGAGAGGTCTTACACCAATCTCTTTGACAAGAAGGGCTACAAAAGGGAAAGGGAAGGACACATGATTTTGAAAAAAGAGGCACAAGAGAAGGAGCCAGAAGGATGAGGAGTCCAAATACAACCATCCAACTTTGAAGGATCCAAGAACATCTCTTCAAGAAAGGCAGAATCTTCTGTGGAACCTTCTAGATTGGACTTCTTAGAGGCAGAACAGATCCAAATCTGCCATTCCTTTTATTAGCATAAGCTTCTGCTTTTTTATTACCCAATCACTACTTTTCTATGCCACCACTGCGCATGAAAAGAAGCACCAGCACAATCTCCTTTGCTATCACAAATAGGAAGAGAAGCCTACAACCATAAATTTCACAATTCATGGTTGTCCATTAGATATTCTGCACGAGCTAGGCATGCTCCATTTATAGTGGCACCTACTAATTTTCCTTAATTTTTAAGCTCCAAAGTTTACTCCAAGTGGAAAGGTCACCATCTAATGAGATTATGATCTAGACGAAACCTAAACCCCCATCAATATGATATCCAGGCCTAAATCTTCCATAATATTTAGAACTAAATGCAACACTGAGAGGGAATCCTTGCAAACAGTAAACCTGGTATGAGTCCTTGTAAACATCAATGTGCTCTTATAAATTAATCATGGAGCTGCCCTACAGAATGGGTTAATCATGGAGCTGCCCTACAGAATGGCACCTAGACAAAAGAGTGATTTGGTAAAGTGAATCCTATCACTTTAAGTGAAAGAAGACTTTGTCTTGATATGCACATTTAAAGTATAGATAACATTTAAATGAAATAAACATTTAAAGTGTTTAACCAACACTTCTGAGGTCCAACTTTCATATTTGTGTTATTGTCTTGATGGACACCTGCTGTCCCTATCTATACTCCAGCAGTTTGGGCTGCAGCAAATTTTGTCCTCTTAGTTGTGTTATGTCATATTATTGATACAATATTTCTCCATTAACAATAAAGAAAGAAAAAGAAAAATTCTTACAGAGTTATTAGTATATGTTATATCACAGTTGTAGTTGGATCTCCTTTCTTCAGATTTCATTCCCCTCTGTCACAGAAAATAAGAGGATAACAATGCCGAAACATCAAGAAAAATATGAACTGTAAATTAGCAATTCATTAACAGAGAGTACCTGAATAAGGCCCACTGACAGACCTAAAAAGCGATGAACCCGACCCATCCACTCAGCATCACGTTGAGCTAAGTAATCATTAACAGTTACCACTGTCAAAACAATAAGAATGCAGAAAATGTAAACCAACAATACTATGGTTTTTCATGAAAGTACATTGAGCTTGTTAATCCATGTCCCAATATCTCACATTTCATAGATTCATTCCATGCCTTAATAAAGAGTATGTCTCCAAAACTATGTTAAGCATGACAAAAACAAATAGAACTTGGTGTGCAAATTTAGAACATAATAATAGCGCATGCATGACATATAATGTAGGGAGATGTTCAAAACTCAAACAGGAAACAAAATAGTGTTTGAGCAGCCAAACCTAGTTTCTAACAATGGCATGTAACACTAGATGCATCAAGATGTCAATTCTATTGTGCAGTCAAAAGAACAAATAGAACTATCTGTTAGTGCAGCATTGTGCCAAATCAGCCAAAGAACTGATCTATACAATCAGAAATTACAGCTTAGGTCCTGAATCCTGATAACAGTATTACATTTGCCCAATTATTACAGAATGTCACAAGCTTTTGAGCTGACAAGCATGAGCCACTAGGTCCCATAGTTTCTACCACATCATCAGCCACAAATGAAGGTCATAATACTAGCTAGCCATAATATTCTAGTACAGATCCACCAAAGAGAATCCACGGTGGGTCTTCTAAGACTTGTAGCAATCCAAACAACTCCATCAATGATTCTTTAAACTACACCCTAAAACTGTCCTAAGATTAAAAAAAAAAAAAGAAGACCTTTATTAAAAAACAGTAATGATCTCAGTCATTCACAAAGTATCAATTACCCTTGTTTCAGAAAGAGAACGTATCCTCAGATAGAAACTAGACCATACCATGGACGCCTTCACCCGTCAGGGCATTTAGATAAGCTGCTAAAGTAGAGACTAGAGTTTTTCCTTCACCAGTCTTCATCTCCGCAATAGACCCGTCATGAAGAACTGCTCCGCCGACAATCTAGCATCAAAAGACGCATATGAGAAGATTGTTTTTTTTAACCTTTTTCAGTCAGAATTCAATGATGAACAAATACCTGGACATCAAAATGACGCATCCCAAGCTTCCTTCTTGCTGCTTCGCGCACAACAGCAAATGCCTCTGAGAAAACCAAAAAATAAAGTGCTAAATAAACCCCAAAGCAATACAAGGAAATGACAGTAAAATGAAACGAAAGAAGTAAGAGAGCAATCCAGACCAGCTTGAATATCTGCAAGTGTTTCCCCTTGTCTCAAACGTCGTCGAAATTCCTCGGTCTTCGCAGTCAGCTGCAAAACAAAAGATACAAGCCAAAATCCAGGTGATTAAAACCAAACCATTAAAAACGGAAGAAACCGAATTGAGATAGCAAACCTGTTCATCAGACAATCTCTGAATTTGGGGCTCCAAAGCATTAACGGCGCTTACAAGATGGTAGTAATCCCGCACCACCCAGTAGTTTAAGCTAGTGAAGTCGCTCCAGTTCTTCTTTAATCGCCCCAAATTCTCCTGAAATAACAACATAAACACAACAGAAGAATGATAAACGAGGAGAAAAACAGATAGAGATAGAGAACAAAAGAAAACCTTGAGTGAGGCGACAGTGGGCTTCGGAGAATAACGATATCGCAGCGACCAAGAAGAAGAAGACGAACAATAAGAAGAGAAATTCGAAATGGGGTTGGTCGGGAGGAAGGCGGGTCGCTGATGAAACCGCTTGGTAGTAGAAAAGGTATTAGGCAGAGCAGGAGAAAGGGCCATGGAGAGGTGGTGTTTATGTTAAGGTAACTCTGGTGGTTATCTCGGTGAACTACACAGAGCCTCCGACTCTGGTAAGTTTGTTATGCAGTGGGAAATGGTGGTTTTGATTTATGGCTGGTCACTGAAGAAGGTTTTTCCCGCGCTCCATTGTTATCGGTCAGACGCAGAACAGAGGAAAGAGTATAGAGCTGCCTTCGTTGGGAGAAAGACATTATCATATAAGGTTTAAAGTATGGGAATCGGAAAGGCAAATTCTAAGAGATGCATACAGTACGTTTTGGATACGTATGCGTATCGGAGATAAATTAAGATACGCTTTGAAACATTATAAATATTTTAATAAATTATAAAAATATATAAATATTAAATATAAGACCTAAATGAAGTGTATATACATTAAATTAATATATTTTAATGGTTTTATGAAGAAATATGCTGTAGTTAATTATAATTTTATTAAAAATTCTATACTTAACTATAATTTATAAATTATAATTCTTAAGTTTTAATGTTTAATGGGATGGAAAAAAATCAACTCTCTTATCCAATCATAAAATATGCATTAACATAACTTCTAAGTGAAAATATAAAAAAATAAATAAACATTATATAATATATTCAAAAAATATTTATTAAAGAAGAAATTTCAATTGCCTTGTGAGATATATGCAGATGATCCATAGAATTATAATATATTCAATCATTGTGATCAAATGATAAAATATAATTAGTTAATTATTTATTTTTTAATTCTATAAATATAAAAATAAAAAATATTAAAGAAGAATTTTCTATTTGTGTGATCAAACGATAAAATATAATTAATTATTATTTATTTTTATTCTAAAAATAAAAAAAATAATAATAAAAAAAATATTAAAGAAGAAATTTCAATTGCTCTATGGATATGATAGATAAATCTATAGATCTAAAATATATTTAGTCTATATACGCAGAGAAAAAATTATATTTTCAAATTTTTTGTTAACTTATGTTTTCCCCAAATATCTCATGAAATTTCCATAAATCTATAGATAACACAAAAAAAAATGTGATTTTGGATGTAAGAAATGTAGATTAACATAAATTTATACATACAAGAAAAAAGAAATCATAAGATATTATAAAAAATTGAAAAAAATACCTATTTTTTACCATATTTTTTCAAAATTTAAAAAATCTTAAAAAAATAACGATTCATACTTGTTTCTTGCAAAATTTTGCAAATCTAGCACTCTAGGAATAAGGTTTGGAGTTTTAGAGTCATTTGGGGGGGTGAAAGAATCTTACTTTTCCCCTTTATTTTTTTCGGTTTTTGGCCGTATCTTTTTCGTCGATATGCTACCGATACACCCTGATACGCCTTGATACGCCCCCGATATGGGTCTAATACGCATGAAAAAAGACGATACACACGATTTCCATGTGTATCCCGTATTTGTTTTTAAAAGATACGGGCGTATCATATCGAAATTTTAAACCTTGATCATATCAGTAGAGTAGTGGGGACCCGAATGCACGGGAAAACATAATATCTAATTTGATGACAAATGGTAAATTTATATATGGGTAAATTTCTTAAACTACCCATATGGTTTAGATAATTGACTAAGTGTACTCTTACTGTTTTGTTACCCTTAAACTAAGTGTACTCTTATTGTTTTAGATAATTGACTAATTTGATGACAAACGTTAATATTTCATTAAAATCCATACGCACATGATATCACATGACGTTTAATTTTTTTTTAAATCCTAAAGCTACCCTTGTCTCCTTCCTCTCGACTCGGCTCCAACTTCATCCTCCGACCTCTCTCTCTCTTCCCTTTATCTTCCTCCCACAGTCTTCGTCAACACCAAATCACCGGAGAAAACTAAACCGTATCCGCACCATATGCACTAGACAAAGCCACAGTCTTAGACATTAAACATTGGCTTTCTCCTATGTATTGAGATGTTGCATACTTGCAATCACTTTGAACATGGGATGAGAAAGACAAATCACCAATGTACTACACCTGGCAAATTTTGGGAACTAATCTGAAACTGAAGGATGAATACAAGAGTGAAAGAGCACTTCTTTGAAATCATTCTCTGAACTTCACAGGGCTCAAGCACACAAAGAGCACTTCATCTTCTTTCTTCAACAACAGTGGGGGTGCTCTGAGAAGTAGAGAACGAGTGAGGCGGTAGTGGCAACAACCGAAGTGGTATGAGCGAATTGAGGTGACAACAGCGAAAGTCCAACCTTTCTCTCTCTCTCTTCTTCCTCTGGGCGATGGTGGCGGAAGCCCAATCTTTCTCTCTCTTCTTCCTCTAGGCGACGGTGATGGCGGCAACCCCTCTGAAGTCCGATCTTTCTCTCTCTCTTCTTCCTTTGGGCAACGACGGCGGAAACCCCCCTCTAAAGTCCGATCTTTCTTTCTATCTCTTCTTCCTCTAAGCGACGGTGACAGCAACTCATTTGAAGTCTGATTTCTCTCCCTCTCTCTTCTTCCTCTGGGCGGCAACGGCAGTAACTCGAAGTTCGATCTTTCTCTCTCTCTTTTTCCTCTGGATGACGATGGTGGCAACCCCTCTAAAGACTGATCTCTCTTCTCTTCCTTCTTCCTATGGGCAGTTTTGATTGCATGTCTCTCAAGCAGCCGAGGTGCCGAGCTGAGGTCTCCCTCAATTGTAGAGGTGCCAAATCGAGGTCTCCCTCAGTTGCTGAAGTGTTGAGCTAAGGTTTCCTGGTTTTCCTAGTAGGCGAGGTGTCGACCTAATGTCTCCCTTAGTTGACAACGTGCCGAGCTGAGGTCTCCTTTAGTTGTCGAGGTGTTGAACCGAAATCTCCCTCAGTAACCGAGGTGCTTGTTGAGTGGGGCCACCGATTTGTGTTGTTGAATGGGGCCACCGATTTGTGTTGTTGAATGGGGCCGGTTTGTGTTTAGTTTATTTTCTTTTAAATTAAGAAGTTGGGCCTTGGGCCCATTAGTTTTTATTTTTAAAAGGGTTGTAACTATTTAGTTTGAGTTGCCGCCCTACTAAGGGCATCTTTGTAATATCTCATATTTAAGTTAAATATAAATAGAATGAGGGGCTGGCGGCTAGGGTTATGATACACAATCCTACTTGACCTTCTTCTCCTTTTTCCCTTTTCTCTTTTTATTGCTGAAATCTACAACTTCCTCCTCTTCCTTTCACAAGAAGCTTGACCGAATAAGCAGATAGCGGTTTCTACTGTGCTGAGCCGAGGTTTCTCTCAATGGTTGAGGTGTCGTCTAGTTCGAGCTCAATTTGAATTAGAGACTTGAGCTTGAGCTTAGAAGTTCGAGCTTGGCTTGACTCGGCTCGAACTCGACTACCTTTGATAGTAGGTCCCCTAGTAGCCGAGATGCTGAGCTGAGGTCTCCCTCAGTTGGAGAGAGAGTGGCCTTCTTGTAATTTATAAGGAGATAGAGATGGTATTCTTGTATTTTGTAAGAAAAAGAGAAGTAGAGATTTGGTAGGAGAGAGAGTGTTGTGAGCTCCGGAAAGCTCATGGCCGGCTAAAAGAGTTGGAGTTGCCACCCATTTTTTAGAGGAAATGGACCCTCATTTTCAAATTTGAAAACTCGATTTAGGTCTTTGATAGTGACTCCGTTTTCCATGGGAGAGGCACACAACCAAGAGATATTAGGTCCCAAGGATTGGGAGAGGGAAGGTATTAGGCACCCTCTCTCCAAGCTGCTTTAGCAACCCGATACGAGAGTTATTCAGGCTCAACTTCTTTCGAAGAAAAACAAAAATGGTTGCAAAAATTTCTTAAATTTGGAGGAACATGCTTTCAACTCCTCCTAAGACCGATTTTGAGGTGATGTTATCGCGTCTTAGGTATTGATTTCCCTAAGACCCTCGCCTCTCTACCTCTACTCTCAGTCAAGAAGAAATTGAAAACGATGGTTCTCCAACATTTCAGAACCTTGCAACCCAGAAAAAACATTTCAAGAAGAAATTGACAGGAGTTTTCCATCAGCTAGGGATGTGACAGAATGAAGTTTAGATAGGTTCTAGAGCTAGGGAGTGTTTCTGGTTACAACAACCTCTGCTTGAAGGTGGAGGAGACGAGTTTAGAATCTGATGTTCAGAGCACCTCTGGATTTTGGGTGAACAAGAGGCAACAACCTCTCTCTCTTTCTCTCTAGGAGCCTCTCTTGGGTTTCCTTCCTTTTTCTTTCTCTTTTTTTCCCCTCGGATCCCCCTTGGGTTTTTTTCCCTTCAGCCCCCCCCTTTGGAGCTCCAACTAGGCCTCTATATATAGAGAAAATGGAGGGAAGTGGGTCTGAAATTTGCTCAGATACAGTGTTTGTGACTAAGGATAATTCTTTCACTAAAATAGACAAAGATTCTTCAAAGAAATGGGTGCCCAGTCAAGCTTTCTTGTTTAGTGAAACTCTTTTTTCGATTTGGGTGTACTTTTCACGGGTTTTTGTGCGTCCAATGGGTGCTTGGGGCGTGCCAGACATTGCAGCCCCGTATTTGGAACTGACAGTGGAAGAAAATGTAAATTTGATGAACTTTTTAAAGTTATTTTGTCTTTTCTTGGTCTTAAGTAAGGGTCTGTTTGGTATTTTGAGCTTTTTGGGTTTATTAGGCTTTGTTTGATTGGCCTAGGTGTTCTAATGGGTCAAGATTGGGTTTGACATTAGCCATCACCCTTTTAAGGGCTTCAAGTTGGGCTAGATGATGCGGCAATTTAATCTGGTTCGTCGAAATGGTAACTTTCTAGTTTAACGGTCAAATGAATGAGTTTGGTAATGAAATTTGGCATCCTAGGATTTTTGAATCTAATGGAAGTGATGGATCTTTGATCAGAGGTGTAAATTGGTTGATTTAGTTCAGATCATTGTCTTAGCTTATGGTTTTCCAATCAACGAGAGGGTTCAAAATAGAATCTTACTTTTTCAATAGTCAAATGGAGGTATTTCACCGTGAGATTTGACACGCTAGTTTTTTTTGGGTCTCCAAACACAGAGGTAAGGTCTGATTTGTCATGTGCAGTTGGGATGATGGATGGTAGGCTCTAATTAATGAGATTTATTAGAATAGGATCTTCGCTTGTTGGGGGGTTAAATGAGAGAATTTTGAGTTACAATTTGGTAGGTAGGCATGGTGAGGAGTCAAGTGGATGGTTTTGATCTGAGAAATATATGGTCGATCTTGGTAATCGTTCAGGGCCATTTGAATGGG